CGCCATGGCGGCTGCAGGCGCGGCTGTCGCGTGCAGCCGCCCTCCCTCAGGGGGTGACGGCGACGCCGCCCCCGCGCGGCGCGACCTGGCGGCACCGGGCAGCCGCGTCGGCCTCAGCCCCGCGCGCCGTCTCACCAAGCGGCGGAAGAGATGGCGCCAGCGGCGGAGCCGCGAGGACCGCGGTGGCGCGCGACGCAGCAGGCTGCGAACCCCATCAGCAGGCTCCCGACCAGGAAGCCCCAGAGCGGTGGCCACGCCGGCGAGCAAGGTGCACACACCGGGCAGGCCGAACGCCAGGGGAGTCGGTCGGGCAACCGTGGCAGTGGCACGGCCGCGTGAGCCCCACGAGCCACGACCCCGCCGCCGCCGCGCCCGCCGCGGCCCAGGGGTCGGCCATGCAGGCCGACGTTGAAGCCGCGACCAGACTTGCAACCAAAACGGCGGCGGACAACGTCCAGTGACCGACACCATCGCGTTCGGCAACACCCATCCCCCTTACAGCATAAGCGTGTGAACGCTGGCGATAAGTGTGTGTGTTTGTATATATATATATATACATACATATGTATACACATGTATGCATGCATTTATGGATGTGTATGTGCGTACGTACGTACGTACGTACGTATGTATGTACGTACGTACGTACGTATGTACGTATGTATGTATGTCGGTAGGTATGTATGTATGTGTGCATGTATGTATGTATGTACGTGTATGAGGGCCTCACAAACGGTCACGAGGGCCTAAGCGGCCCAGGAGGGCCCCAAGACACCCGAAGAGGCCCAAAAGAGGACCTCAACGCGTCCCAAGATTGTCCAAGGCAGGGTCCAAGAAGCCCCCTGGGAGGCCAATGAGAGGCCCTCAGGAGGCCAGCAAGGAGGCCTCAAAATGCTGCGACAGTCTACGAAGGGGGCCTCGTGGAATCTCTTTGGGGCTCTTTGGCGGCTTTGGGGGGGTCTTTGGGCACGTCTTGGAGGCTTCGGGGCAACCTTTCGGGGACTCTTGGGGTCTCTGGGGCCCCTTGGAAACTCTTGGGAGCCTCTTGCGGTCTCTTTTGGAGGCCTCGCGGGAACTTTTCGGGGGCCTCTTGTGAGCGTCTTTGGACTTCATGTGACCTCTTGGAGCGTCTTGGGTTTCTTGGGTCCTTTTGGGTGCTGTTCGGGGGCGTCCTGGCGAAAAGGCGAGAAGGCAAAGATCATAGATTTCCAATTGATTTGTGAAGGTTTGGGGTTTCTCGGAAGCGTCCTGGAAGGTCTCCTGGGCCGTCTGGGGCTGTCTGTAGCGTCTCCTGAGGCGTCTGGAGGCTTTCGCGAGCCGTCTACGACCTTTGGAAGCAGTTTGGGGGGGCGACTCGGGACCTCCTGAGCCGCCTTGACGGCGGTCAGGGCGCTCTCGCTGATCTGGAGCCCCCAGGAACGCGCCGGGCCCCCAGGTCCCCCATTTGCGGTCGGGGCTCTGGCCCCAGGGGCCCTGGGCCCAGTCACCCCTTGAATTGCGCACAACAACTACACACTAGAACCATAGAGCGCTTCGCGCGCACTCAAGTCCCATCGCAGGCCGGGGGGTCGCTGGAAGAGCTTGGACACCATTATCATGCACAAGGACGTGCCATAGTCGTACCCAGCTTCGCACTCATCCTCATCCCCACCCTCACCCTCAGTATTATCTGCATCATACTACTCATCGTCGTCATTACAACCATCATGATCATAATCATCATCGGCAGCAGTAACAACAGTAGCATCAAGGGGAGCCTCCTTGGCACAGTGCTGCTAGCCATGCAGTCACGCAAAACTATGGCATCATCCTCCTCCTCTTGCTCCGCCTCCTCCTCCTCCTCCTCATGTTCATCAACATCATCATCGTCGACATCATCATCACCATCATCATAAACACCATCACCATCGCCATTACCATCATCATCATCATCATCATCATCATCATCATCATCATCATCATCACCATGACCATGACCATGACCATGACCATGACCATGACCATCATCATCATCATCATCATCATCACCATCACCACCATCATCATCATCTTGATGGTCATCATCATCGTCATCATCATAATGCTAATCACCACCATCACCACCGTCATCATCAGCATTGTCGTCATTATCTTCCTCCTCATCATCACCAGCACCATCATCAGCATCATCATCATCGTCGTCATCATCATCAGCAGCAACATCATTCTCACCACCACCACCAGCATCGCCATCATCTTCATGATCCTAATCATGATCATCAGTATCACAATCATCATCATCGACATCATCATCGTCTACATCATCATCATCATCATCACCATCATCATCAGCATCATCAGCACCATCATCCTCATCATTGTTATCGTCGTCGTCGTTGTAGTTATCATCGTCGTACGTAATCCTACTTATCATCGCAAAATGACCATCTTGGACTCATATTGGTCCGCCCTGCATGCCTTTTGTAAGCCTCTTGCGAGCCTTTTGGGACGTCTGGGGAACATCTTGAGTTGTCTGGGGCGGGGGCATCATCACTATTATGAATCAAAGCGCGCCTGCATAAAAGCTGGTGGGGCGATACGAAGGGCAACTAAAAATGCGTGCAGCGACGCGGCATGGCTGCAGGCTCAGCAGAGTCACGCGAGACGGATGAGGACGAGGCAGGGAGGAGAGGGAGAGGACCCTGGGCAAGCGCGGTAAAACGACCTGAAGCTCGTCCAATGGGCACGAGGGTTCCCGTAAGCAGATTGGCAGGTAGGAATACACATTGAAAATTTGACCTGCGACGGCTTGCTGCAGGACCATCCCTAAACGCCCGCCTTTCTATGCAACAGTGCCGAGGCTGTTGATTGAGACTTCCTCCATATTCAAACCAGAGGAGCCCAACGAGCCCTCATCATCATTCTCAGCATGATCAGAATCATCATCACCACCATCACGGTCATCATCATCACTATCACCATCGCAATCCCCGTCAAGATCACCATCACCATCATCATTATCAGCATCATCAGCAGCAGCATCATCATCATCGCAATCATCATCATCATTATCAACAACGCTACCATCACCATCATCACACCAATCAACAATCATACACATGATTGTGATGATCATCATCATTAACATCGCCATCATAACCATCATCACCACCATCATCACCATCACCATTCCTCATCATCATCATCACCACCATCGGTATCATCATCATCACCACCATCATCGTCACTATCATCACCATCGTGTTCATCCTCACCATAACCACAACAACCACCATCACCATCATCATCATCATCATCATCATCATCATCATCATCATCATCATCATCACCATCACCATCATCATCATCATCATCAGGGGAATTTTCATCATCAGCCGCATCAATACCGGAATAATCATGATCAGCACTGTCACCATCATCATCAACGCCATCAGCATCACCACACTCATCGTCATCGTCATCATCATCAGCATCATCATCACCAACATCATCCACATCCACATCCACATCCTCATCCTCATTATCCTCATCCTCCTCATCGTCACCAGCATAAGCATCATCATCGTCATCACCATAATCATCATCCTCCTCATCATAATCAGCATCAGCATCAGCATCAGCATCAGCATCAGCATCAGCATCAGCATCATCATCACCATCACCATCACCATCACCATCATCATCATCATCATCATCATCATCATCGTCATCATCATCATCATCATCATCATCATCATCATCATCATCATCATCATCATCATCATCATCATCATCGTCGTAAATATCCTTACCATCGCAACCATCAGCACCAATATCTCCGTCATGAACATCATTGTTAGCATCGTCGTTGAGCCGTCGACCAGATGTTCCTGGAAAGGCCTCTGGGACCATCAGGCCTGCTGGGTGTGAGAGCCTCGGATGGGCCGTCGGGAGTGAAGGAGGCCAACATCAGGTCGGATGCGCGCCTTGGGGAGCCAGGTGTGGGGGGCTCGGAACGGGCCTTCGGGAGGCTTGTTGAAGCTCCCTGGGTGTCTATGAGGGTCTCTTGGGGTCTCTTGGAGTCCAGCTTCGGGGCATTGCGGGATCAGACGGGCCGTCGGGAGTGAAGGATTTTGGCTTCTTCGGGGCCTCTTGTAAGCGTATTGGGAGCCTCTTGGGGGCGTGGTAAGGCCGTCTTGGAGCCACCTGGAGCTGTCTGGGGCCGTCTGCAGGCCATCTGCAGGTCATCTGGGGCCGTCTTGGCGGGCTCGTCGGCCGTCTCTCCCAGCCATGCTCGGCCGTCTCGGAACCATCTTGAAGGGTTGGAGGGGCCCCAGTCGACCGTCTTGGGCCTCTGTGGTGCTCCTCTAGGGCCATTCTTGGACCACCCCGAGGCCTCAGAGGCTTCTCGGGAGCGAAAAGGGTGGATCTTCAAAACCTATGGTTTCTGCAGGTTGAATGATTCGGGCCTTTGGGGGGCCTCTTGGAAGTTCCTTGGGAGCCTCCCGGGGCCGCCTTGGGGTCGTTTTGAGCTGTCTGGGGCCGTCTGGGAATTAGCTGGGACCGTCTTGGCGGGCTCGAGGGCCGTCTCGAAGCCATCTTCGGCCGCCTTGGAGCCATCCAAAAGGATCTTGGCGCTTTGGGCTCCTCGGAAGCGAAAAGGCGAGTTCTTGAACAACCCAGTGCTATGATTTGGCTTTAAGCTTCTCGGGAGCCTCTCGGTGGCCTTTTGGGGCCGTCTGTGGGCCATCTGAAGCTATCTAGAGAGTACATGGGTCCGTCTTGGCGGTCTCGAGGGCCGTCTCGGAGCCATCTTCGGCCGTCTCGGAGCTATCTTGAAGGGTCTTGCACGCTCCAGGCGACCGTCTCGGACCTTCTTGGGGCTCATCGACGGCCGCTGTTGGACATCCTGAGGCCTCAGAGGGCCCTCGGAAGCGACGAGGCGAAATCTCGAAAATCACTGGTTTTCCTGACATGCTCGAAGGATCGGATTTTAGCCTCCTGGAGGCCTCTTTTGCTGGGGGGGGGGACGTCGAACCAGACCTGCCGAACGGGCCCGAAGCGCCAAGTGCAACACGGCTCGAGCACACGTGCGAACGCTGCCCTCGCCTCTGCCTGGGCGAGGCGCGCCCCGGGCGGGCGGCCCGGAAAAGGAGGGGTGAACGCCGGGGAGGTCGGACCACATTACAGCCGCGTGGGAATTTCGTGGGTGCCTTCGCCCTCCCTGTGCGGTCCCACCACGACCCACACGCCGTGACAGGCCCCCCTCGAATGAGGTGTTCCCTTGCCGAAGACATTGCGCACTCGGGGAGGGAAGGGGTTGGATGAGGATGAGGAGCGACGAGAGGAGGGCAAACCGGGCGGAAGGTGAGTGAATCAGGAGGAGGGGCTGGGATGAAGGCAGCCATACGTCCACGCAAGCCTCAGACGTCCATGACCTTTCTGCACTCTGCACTCTGGATGGCCGCCTCAGAGTGGTCATCCTCCCCGAGGAGCCCGCCCACGAGATGGCCCGCCTTCTTCAAATTACGGGCAAAGAAATTTAGGTACGGAATCCCCCCGAGGGTGCGGCCGTGAATCACCTTCAACTGGATCTTCCCGAAGAACATCCACTTCGTGCCCGTGTGGGCTGCCCCCTGACCTGCGGTGAAGAAGAACCCGATGCCATCGGCATGCCCGAACTTATGGGCCTTGGACTCCGCCCATTTTCCTGTGATGTTGACGCTCATGAAGTATGTGTCCGCGCAAGTGCCACCTATCTGCTGAGCGTCAGCTGCCACAGCGAGGAGCACATTCGATTGGCGCGCCCTGAAGGGCACATGAAGCAGGACGTGGACGCCAGGCTTCATCAAATCGAAATGCTGCCCTTGTATATTGACCAAATGTGGGTCACCAACTGCGCTCGACACCACTGGCGCCATGACACCAGAGATACCAGAGACGCCAGAACTTAACGGAAGTGTCGGCACAGCTGTCGGCGCCACTGGAGAGCTGGTCGGCGCCATTGTTGGCTCAGGAGTCGGCGCAACTATCGGTGCCACCGTTGGGGCAGACGTGGGCGCGCTTGTCGGTGCAGGGGACGGAGGGCTGGTCGGTGCCATTGTTGGTTCAGGAGTCGGCGCAGCTGTCGGTGTCAATGTCGGGACAGCTGTTGGTGAGCTTGTCGGCGCAACTGTCGGCGCGGCTGTCGGGGCGACGGTTGGAGACAATGTCGGCGCAGCTGTCGGCGCAGCGGTCGGAGACTCCGTCGGTAACATTGTTGGTTCAGGAGTCGGCGCAGCTGTTGGCGTCGCTGTTGGGGCAGACGTCGGTGTAGTAGTCGGCGCAGCGGTCGGCGCGGCTGTCGGGGCAGCGGTCGGCGCGGCAGTCGGCGCAGCGGTCGGAGATTCGGTCGGTGCCATCGTTGGCTCAGGGGTGGGAGCAACTGTCGGTGCCGGTGTCGGTGCAGCCGTGGGCGCGCCTGTCGGTTCGGCTGTCGGCGTAGCTGTCGGCGCAGGGGTTGGAGAAGGGGTTGGTGACGGCGTGAAGCAAGAGAGGGTGCCCTGGTGGGCGAAGTACGTGGACGTCCCGGCCATGGCGAAATTACGGCCCCATTTCTGGATGTACTCGTCAGGCTTATCCGTCAAGATCCTGAACGCGATGCTGAAGCTGCTCGTGTTCGAGAACTCTGCCATGAAGCACCGTCTCGCCTGGTCCACAGGGACCGCTGTCTCATCTGGGCAAGATATGTTGGTAAGCTGGTTCACGTCCGTCGGATTATCGCAGCCATGGCCGAACATCCGTGACGTTGAACGGATCCCAAACTTTCCACCAGAGACAGAGGCGTACTTTCGGGAGGCCCTTCCCGAAATCACAGTTGGGATCGATTCTGTGGTGTAGGTTAGTGGGACCGGGCTTTCGAGGTGGGCAGAGGTAGACTCGAACAACTCCAGATCGTAATCGAGGTCGCCGTCGACGGTGTAGATGGCGCTGACACCGTCGATAATCAGAATCTCATTTTCCCCATCTTCATAATGGTCAATGTCACAAAACGTGAGCTTGGGCAGGTATGGGGTCTCAGGGCAGAAGGTGTGATTTCTCACGAACTCCCCCTTGAGAGTGGCAAACTCACCAACAAGGAGATTCACCACAGCCTGAGACCCAACGATTTTGTTCCAGTTCGTGTTCTTCGGGATGTACTGGCTTGTGTTGGTGAAAGTTATGTCGACGTGGACGCCATTCTGAAGCCGCCCGACTCCATAATATCGGAGCTCACGGGGCTTATGAAAGTCTGGGCCCAAGCCAGCGAGATTTGAATGAGACGATCTCCCCCGACCATCTTCGTTTGAAGCCGCAAATGTAATCCAATCTTCACAGTCCCCTGGCTCATGAACTATTGGTTCTTCCACGGGACAACTCTCAGGACACACGCAACACATTGAAGATGAGAAGTCGCTATCATCATAGTAAGGGTCGAGGCAGATACCGCTGTATGGAGCTTCGGGATCGTGCGAATAGACCTCGCAGGAGTTGCCAAGTCTGTTCAAAGCTCCGCTGTCACCGTCTGCACACGTTGTCGGTGCAGGAGTCACGATCCCCGACAATACCTGGTGGCTAGCACTGTTTTGCACCGCGTGCATCCCTTCCGCTGATATCTGCATCATGAACGCACCCGAGAGCCCGAAGCTGCCGGTAGCACGAGTCCCCACAGCACTGAGGACAAGTAGACCTGAGGCCACGGCCGCTTGGGTCGCGCGATGTGGTGCGAGTTGGCAGGAGCCGTACCCATTCGACACTCTCATGCAGGTGTCAAATGAATGAGCGAGTGAACGTGTAGGTGAGGGTGATTGATCAAGGATCGGCCTGTGTCGTCGCCAGGTGACGAACTGCTTGAGCCAATGCAGCTTGAGCCAAAATGGCTACGGAAGCCTCCTTGGGGCCTTTTTGGGATCCTCGTGTGAGCCTCTTGGGAGCCTCTTGAGGCCGTTTTGGGACCACCTCGAGGTTTCGGTCTGGAGGCCATCTGGGGCCGTCTGGGGGCTATCTTGGAGGGTCCCTGGGGCCCCCGTCCACCCATAGAGGTTTCAAACACTTGGTTTTGGCCTCCGGGGCGCCTAGGCCGTGTGCTCCATAATACTTGTATTATATATATATATATATATACACCGATAGGACCACCCTTTGGGTGATAAGGAAGATGGGGGGGAAGGGGGAGGCGGTCGATTTGCGAAGGCTCTGAGTTCTTTGGTGGTTTCTTCAAGTTTCCGATTGTCGCGCCCACCTGCCCATCTATATCTACTTATATATATATATACACATATCTATCTATCTGTCTAATTATCTGTTTAGGGCAACCATCTATCTATATATCTATATTTCTCTCGATATTAATCACTCTATCAGTCAAGCAATTAATCAACAAATCAATCCATCAATATAGCTAAATGTATATATTATCGATCTATCAACCGACCAAAATAACTATCTGACGGTACTTGTACATTGATCTTGGAGCCTCAGCCTCGCAGATTTGGCCGCATCGCGTTGTCCCGCAACTGTCTTCGCTCAAGTTAATTTGTGGAGGGGTCAGCGCTCTCGGGTCCCTCTCGGGCGCTGTGCATGTGGGGCGAGCTCGCGACGGTGGCTGCCGGTCTGACGCAGACCTACCTGGCGAGCTGCCCGCGGTGCCCCGAGCAGCGGTGCCCCGACTGCCACTGCGGTCGGTGCCTTTCGATCCCTGCGTGCCCGGCATGCCCAGGCGCGCCCGCTGTTCGGCAAGACGCTGCAGAAGTGGAGCTGCAACTCGGGCTGCCGTGGAAGCTGGGCCATCGCGCTGCTCGGCGCGGGGTGCCTGGCCGGGGCGTGCGGGGCGGAGGCGATCGGGGGCCTGGTGCGGGGCCTGGGTCGCTGCTGCCGCCGTGATGGCAGCCGCAGCTCTGGCGGGGACGCCGGAGGCGGCGAGTTGCGCGTGGGTGTACGTGCTCTACAATGGGGAGGGCGAGCTGTGGCACCAGAGGCGGCGCGTCGGGAGCTCAAGGGCGTCCTCGGCGACTAACTACATCCTCACACCCGACGGGGACTGCTACGCGGAGAGGTACGACCTGGAGGAGGCGCACATCTCGGCGGTGCGGTACGCCGAGGCGCGATGGCCCCCACCTCCGGGGCTGGCGCGCGGGAACGTGTACAGGTTCCGAGCAGCGCCGACCCAGCAGGAGTTGGACGACGCCTTCGACCAGTCAGAAGCTCTAGAGCGGGCGGAGCATCGTGCGAGGGAGGCGGCAGCAGGCCGCGACCCGGCGGTGATCCCGCCAGGAGGCTATCTGGAGCGGCTTCCTGTTCAGCCTGCGGCGGCAGCAGCGGGAGCAGGGCCTCCCGAAGTCGCCGCGGCGGGGGGGCTTGGCGGCTGGGGCAGGGGGCGCGGCATTGGCGGTAGGGGGGCCTCGGCGTGTGGGTGTACTTGTCGGAGGTGGGGCTGCAGGCGGGGGCGGCGAAGGAGGAGTTCGCGGAGACCCGACCCTGGTGTGGGTGGCGGTGGAGACGCGCGGGCAGTACCGACGGGGAGATGAGGTGCTGCTTCCAGCGGGCGCCGTGACCTTGGGCGATGTGGCGCTGACGCCGACAGGCGATGGCGGGAGCCTGTGCCTTAGGCGGCTGAGGCGCCAGGACGTGATGAGCTGGGTGGGGTCGGAAGCCGCTGGAGACGCGCGTATCCTGAACGTGGACCTGAGCGAAGGTGGGCGGGAGAGGACCCAGTGGCGCGACGTGGTGAGCAAGTCGAGCGTCACCGACTTCGCCGACTGGTCCGTGGTCGGCCCCAGGACCACCGAGTGGTGCATGATGTTCCTGAACAGGCGGGGAGGTGGGCCGATGGACCACCACAGGTACTTCACGGTGCTGCACGGCCTCGAGACGGGCGACTGGGGTGTGGACACGCACCGCTTGTGCCTCAAGGCGGTGGAGGAGGCGGGGACGTATGACCACCTGGAGCTGTGCAACCTAGCGAGCTTCGAAGTCCTCTTCCGCCAGGCCCAGCTGGTAGAGTACGTGTACGAGCAGGAGAGGGTCGCCAGGCAGATGGTTGGCGGCAAGGGCAAGAAGGGTGCCGGCAAGGGCGCTGGGCTGCTGGACGAGAGTCTGGTGTTCACAGGCCAGCACCGCGAGGCGGGCGGCGTCATGCTGGCGCCGGAGCTGATGGACTTCGTGTCGCGGGAGGTCGAGAGGGATGCCAACATCATGAAGCAGGTGAGGAAGGCGCGCGAGGAGCGCCGAGCCCTCACCACCAACAAGAAGAAGGATGGGGAGTGATCGGGCAGGAGCGCCTGCCCACTTGCCCCGGCCGCCGGCTACAGTCGTGCGCGGCCGGGGCGGAGGCTATCCTCCACAGTTTTGCAGCCACCCTCGTGAGCGTCAAGTTGCTCGCGAGCTTCTTCCGTTGCCCTTGCCCGAGGGACAGACAGGTCTGCCAGCGCTGGTACGTTGTCCTGGAGGGGGGGGCAAGAGTTTGAGCCATGCAGTCCGCCGGCGAGGACATCGGGCGCGTCATCGAGAGGATGGAGTGTCCGGGACGATCGCCACCCTCAACGAGCTGTACGGGGCCAGCGAGGACCTCGACAGCACTAATTTGCGCCCGAGTGCGGCGCAGCTTTCCTGCTTGGCGCGGATCGGGCAAGCCCACCGTGAGCTCGGTTCGCCTCCGGCCGACTTGCATGGACAGGGAGCCCTGGAGGAGCTCCTGTCAAAGCAGAGCTACGGCGGCGTCGCTGGAGCTGTTGCCCCCCTCGAGGTGGAGCGGGTAGCCTTGCCCAGTCTCCAGCGCCAGCCCGCGCGCATCCAGGATGTCGGGGGCTCGGCGGGCGTGCAGGTTCTCGAGGTTCTCAAGAGTTTGGTTCGGGCGCCCGAAGATGGGGCGGCTGAGGAAGAGCGTCAGCAGTTGCGCCGAGCCTACAACGACCCGATCATTCGCCAGAAGCCGAAGGAGTATGCGAAGCTCCTTAGGAAGCTGCACGAGCGGTGCATCATCGAGTACAGGCGTAGCTGCAAGCAGAGCGTTGGTACTTTCTGCGTATGGAAGAAGGGGGGGAACAACGTCTTATCCTGGATTGCAGAGTGAGCAATTGCTGGTTCAAGGGCGCCCCAGGAGTGAGCCTGGCGACAAGCGACAGTTTTGGACGGCTCGAGATCGAGGGGGCCGAGCCCGTGTACGTGTCGGGCGTGGACATCGAGGTGGCCTTCTACTCGGTAAGCCTGCCCGAGGAGCTGCGCGAGGACTTCGGGATGGAGCCCGTGTGCGCTGGAGCTGTTGGAGTTCGATGGCTCGACGGTGAACGCGTTCATCCTGGAGTGAGGGTCGTGCCGGTGCTGAGCGTGCTGCCCATGGGCTTCAAGGGGGCGCTGTACGTCTGCCAGGCGCTCCACGAGGCGGTGGCCGAGAGGGTCACTGGCGTGGATGCGGACAACAGACTGGTGGACGGGCGGCCTGCCCCCGCGGTGACCCGGGGCTGCGCCGGGCTGCGTCCACACCGAGTACGCGGACAACTTCGCGGCGCTCGGGACGGACGGAGAGGAGGGGCGCCGGCTGGCCACTGAGGTCGGCGCCGCTCTTGAGGCCGACGGGCTAGGCGTGCATCCAGTCACTTGCAGCCGAGGCGGAGATACGCTTGGCTGGCACTTTGACGAGCTGCGGCCTGCTGTGGGCATCGCTCCACGCACGGCCTGGCGGCTCATTCTCGGCCTGCGCGAGATCCTGCGCAGAGGACGAGCGAGCGGTTCCTCTCTGAGAAGCATCCTTGGTTATATTACTTTTCGTGTTCTATTACGGCGTCCGATCGGTCTTGCACACCGTGCATGCCTTTATCGATCGTCATCCTGTCCGAGTAACACCTCTTTGGGATTCTGTGAGAGATGAGCTGGAGTGGGTGAGTCATCTGGTGCCCCTGGCCTCTAGAGAGCTCACTATGGCGTGGAGCCCCAAGGTGACGGTGTTCGACGCGAGCGAGTGGGGTTACGGGGTTATGGAACGACGATGCCCATGGCCTTCGTGCTGCTGCTGCGGCCAGCGGAGGCGCTGAGGCTGACAGGCGGGTGCTTAGTGGCGCCGGTGAGCGGAGGGACCCCGAACCGCCGCAAGTGGTCCATGGTGCTCCACCCGCACGAGAGGGGTCTGACCTCGAAGGTGGGGGCGCAGGACGAGTGCATGGTGTTCGACAACCCCGAGTTCGAACTGGTGGCGCCGATGCTAGTGAGCTTGCAGAGGACCGTGGCAGAGGGAAGGCCCCTCTTCCCGGTGAGCTCCGCCCAGTGGCAGGATGCCGTGCGGTCCGCCGCAAGGCGACTGTTCCCCAGCCTCGTCGCCCCGACGCTGTACCAGCTGAGGCACGGCGGGGCGTCGCACGAGGCGCTGACCGAGTTCCGCAGCACCGAGGGGCTCGTGCGCCGAGGCCGATGGCACAGCCTACGATCCGTCAAGCGGTACGAGAAGGGCGGGCGCGTGAACCAGGTGCTGAGGTCGCTGACGCCCGAGGAGCTGAACGCCGCGCTAGAGGCCGAGCGCACGCTTGGCGCGTGCCTCTCGCGGACATACCGCAGCTAGCGGGCAGAGAGGGCTTCGCGCTGGAGATCTTCTCTGGGAGCGGGAGGTTCAGCCACTGCTGGAGGCAGCGGCCGCCGTGGGGCCTGCCGATCTTCGAGATCGACGTCAGCCACCACTGCTCCCACGACCTCAGCAGCCGCCCTGCCCAGCGCCGCATCCTGGGCTGGATCCGCTCGGGCTGCTGCCGTGCGGTGTGGCTCGGGACGCCGTGCGCGACCTTCTCTCGGGCGCGTGACTCCGGCACCGGGCCGCCGCGGCTGAGGTCGGATGACCTGCCTCTGGGTCTCCCAGGACTTTCAGAGGCCGACCAAGTGAAGGTAGACGTTGCCAATGA